TGGTGATGGCGGTTACTCTTACTCTAGCGGTGGGTCGTCTGGAATCTCAGGAGGTATTTCAATTGGACACTCTGGCGGTGGGTCCTACTCAAGCGGTGGGTCTTCCGAATACTCTGCCCCAGCACCAGCTCCAGTATACTCTGCCCCAGCTCCTGCTCCGGTTTACTCGGCACCAGCTCCCGCTCCAGTCTACTCAGCCCCATCACATTCATCAGGTGGTGATGGTGGTTACTCTTACTCAATCGGTGGTTCACCCGGAGTCTCAGGCGGTATTTCAGTTGGCCACTCAAGCGGTGGCTCTTCTGGGCTCTCTTTTCCGAGCTACTCATCAGGTGGCTCCTTGTCTTACTCGTCGGGTGGTGCATCGTACTCTGGTGGCGATGTTGGCACTCAGTATGCCTCCAACGGTGGTTACGTCTACAAAAAGCAGTAAATCGCTTGGAACTTTTATTATTAAGACTGTGTTTGTACCTTAAAGTAGCTAACGATGTTTCATGCATACAAAGCCCATACAACTAACTTATTCTTCCTGAACACACGTTGTAAATAATTGTCTTTGTTATTAAATACATAAGTTTTTGTTATAAAAAAATATTTGTTAAGCATTTTGATATAACTCGCACTACATACATATGTAGATATAATTACCATATGAAATATTGTTTTCGGTACCATGGTTCATTAGTAGACGAAAGGATAAGTAACTAACCGAAACTAACGACGTATAACTACTGGGACCATGTTCTGGTAAAGGATCTGTTATGGATTTGGCCAAGCTCACCTAATCTTATCTTACCCTATTGTTTTTGAATTTCGCCTGCATGTGAAAAAGTATTGTCTCCGAAAATCCATTGTGACAGTATGTAGAGAAAGACTGTGGCTCAATATGTGGTGTTGTGGTCATCTCAGAATGAAAATTGTAAGATACGTATCTCTTATACAATGCAAGCAGTCCGTCATCTCTTGCCAGTTGACCGTGAAGTGCGTCTAACATATGCTCATGTTGTTATAAGTTTGAAAAACGAAGTGCCTAATTGTTTGTCAAAACTAATCATGAGTGGAGGGCCCCATTTCCATCTCTGTGGCAACGTTAACGTGTCGCTTATAAAAACCATTTAATTTACCTAGAGGTAAAGGTTCTTGGTGCTGTTATTGCACGTCATGCAGCACTCTGGAATAGGGGCAGCGAGGCCGCAAATCCGACAATACGTAGCGAAAAGTTACATCCTGCAATAGATACCCCTGCTTTTATCTATTTCTTAACGGTATACATCTGGTTTTATTTAGTTTTTCCTGGGTATCAGGGCACTCAATGTCCAACGGGATTGCTGGAAAAATTGCCATAACAGGGAACGAATTGGGCGTAAACCCAAACGGCAAAAGAAAACTACCTGTTACCAGGCAATTTTTCCAATCGCTAAAGAATGGAACGAAATGGCTTTGTTGACTCACAGGCGGAGGAAAAGGAATTACTCTGCGAATTTCACGTCCTCTCATGTTGAAAAATTCGCTAAGAGAAAACCAAGTCAAATTGACAAAAGAGAACACACTGAACAAACGGAATCTAAGCGCTAGGTAACCATTTCTGTGGTCATAAAGGCATCGACGTATCAAGCAGGCCTGGTTAAGAGAGCAAGATTAATTCTACTCCCAAAGAGTAGCCTAACAAACTTTGGTCCCTCGACCAACTTCAGCCCATACAGGCTGGCAGCAGCAAAAAAAACTCCGTGAAGTTTAGCGGCTGCACCTTTCCTCCGGGGTGGTTGTCGATTGATTGCGCAGATGCGGAAACCCTGGAAAGACGCGGAACTTGTGGATACCAATTCGAGTGATATCTCCAAATCCTGTGTCTATATTGGTTACTTACCGTACTCATCAAACAATCCAGTGGGTAGTATTTTTTCGAATGAGACCACAATAGAGTAACGCTGTGGTGGGTCCAGGGACATGAAGGGTTTGAGGACAACGGAGAGGCTGACTTTTTCGCAAAACGTGGAGCCTAAACGCGCTTGCATTTTACCAAGCCTGTGTACGTTACATCTAAAGGATTCACTACAGAGCTTCTTATGAGCTGAGAAGAATCTCAGCTACTTGGGGATGTTAAAGAGATTCATAGCTTGATTCCTTGAACTTAGACGCGAGGGTCTTAGAACACTTACTGGCTACATGACAGGACACCATGTCGGGTGTAGTGCATTCACCATACTCATTCGCATAGGAATCCAATTGAAATTTAATAAGAAAATTTTTGAATAAATGTGATCAGGCTAGTTTTGAATTGTCTCTGTAATCTACATTCTCCAAGCAAACAAGTAAGCAAACGAGTGTGGCTTCCGCATTAGCCGAGTCGTCAGAACAGTGTATTACAAGTCAGTAGGACCCACGATGAAGAAAGTAGATATGACCCTATCCGCAGATTACTACGTAGATTTGTCGATTTGACAGCATCTACCTAAGCGCAGACGTCATAAAATTCTTTTCCACACAATGGATGAAAATTGAATTTTTAAATTTTACCTATTCTCCAAAAATCATTATCTTAAAGTAAATAAATGTATTTTATGCGTATAAATTTTTGAGCCATATGTTTAGGGTCATTACCTTGCTGAAAATAACTACTAAATAGTGTGCTGTTTTTTGCCAGCAAAGTTTAAACAAAGTGCTGTGGGAAGACTTTATTGGTGCACTGTATGTATCTTCTGTAGATAGTGTTTATGTTAGGAGTTTTTGACAGAAGGAGAATGAGCACGAAAAATAAGCACAGGTACTCGTTTTCCATGTTTTCTAACTCGAGAACAACTTCCGCAATATTATACGACAGCAGCAACTATTGATTTTTAGATGTCTCATAAATTTGCAAAAAAGTACAAGAAAAGAATAAAAGATCTAACTTATTTGCATACAAACAAAAAAAACAAATTTCAATTTAAATACATACAGTGAACATACATATAAACGGAACAATAAATCTCTAAACAACATCGATGTTATGCAACAATGGAAATACGTTAAACAAAACATTTGCTAATATACCAAGCTCAATTCTATGGCAATTCTATTTACGGCCTATCGGTATGCAGTCGGTTCCAGAGGTTGACACATTTTTGAAGGATTTTCGGGTTTAATTCAATTCCCCGCTGCAGTTTGACTTCCTTCGTCCAGGTTAAGAAGGGATATTGAGGATTTCGTAGGGGAGAGGGTTAGGCTCCTTGCCGCGAAGAAGCCCGAAATTTTGGAGAGGTAACCGTTCATTTTCGAGCACAAGTCATCAATTCCATTCCCAGACGTCAGACGCATAGCAGACAATCGTGACTACCTCTGGTGGTTGAGGGAGCTTTAATATTTAAAAATTAAACCGCATCTGGGAAAGAACACCACCCTAGGGAAGCTCCTGTTTAATTTTTTTCGGTTTGCTGGTTTGTCTCTAAAAATTACTGACGAATGTCGGCCACTCAGATAATTCGCCGACCACCGTTTGAGTCCCTGTGGAAGAAAGGAATCCCCAATATACTTTAGTAGCGTGGAGTTAAAGCCTTTAACAGATCCAACGCTACTAAACTGGCTGGAGTAGCAAGGCCTCAAGTGTCTTCGCTACCGGGGAAAGAAAATTTTTTGGACGATAAGACTGTCCCTTGTTGGACGGTTTACCCGGTTTAAGCAGAGGGACCACCCTCCCCATTTTCCAGATGTCCGGAATAATGAGAGTGGCCATAGAGAGGGGGAGCACCTTGGGAAGGTAGTCTACTCCCGCAGGACCCAAATTTTTCAGCATCAGCATGGAAATTCCGTTCGCTCCGATGGCTTTGAAGGCGTCCGCCTTCCCAATGCCTACCTGAACTTCACCGCTGGAGAAAACAATTGGGGCACTAGGAGCTAGCAATTTATGCAGCCTTCTGGCCAATCCGCGTTTGGCTTTGTCCACCGGAGGTTGCAGCTAAACTGTCGCCTCTCCGAAAGAGATTCCAAAAGAGAGTTCATCAATAGTGTGAATGGGGTAAAAGTCTATATATATATTTATACTTATGCCTTGCAAAGCACAGCTGCTTCCCCAATGGGGGTCTAAAACAATATTTTGGACACTGCTCGGTTAAGCCTGCTGTCAAAATTGGTGCCTACCTATCCGAAAAAACTTCCTTGAATGCTCTCCATCTAAGAACCATCCAATCGGAGCCACGCACCGATTAGTTTCTTCAGGTGTGAAATGCGAAGTTTCCAAAGAATGCCGAATGCTCGCCGAAGCTGACGGAGCGGACAGCAGTAAAGATGAGTGCAATGTTGCCAGTGTACACTATAACTCGTCAGCCTCTTCTTTTCCGCTTCTCCAGAGAAAGGGGAAGAAAATGGCTCGCTACGCAGTACTTCTGCTCACCTTCAGTTTCTGGATTTCACTATTGCCTCGGGTAATACGTTTTTAAAAGTGTGTCGATATCGACGAAGGCATAAACAACGAATTCTTTGTTCTTAAATTAATTATCTATAGCTTTAACGATTCTATGTAAAGCAGACTTCACTGATTTACATCTGTGTATATATGTACATATATAAGTCAATCAGTCTACGAGGATTTTCAATTGGAAGAAACAGAGGTCGATTGGTTTAAAATCCTTGAGAGGCACGAAAGAGTTTCCTCCGTGTTTGGAAGAAACGTTATCCGGGGAGAGGTCGTGGACCACGTGCATGGCTGGAGTAACGGAACCTATCTAAAATCTTTGTTAATTTTTGGACCACCCTAATGTAGGTGTTAGAGACTTGAAGAAAACATATATAATTCTCTTGCTTTTTATCGTTTTTCGTTAATTATGCGTCTCATTTTTGCACATAATGCAGGTAAAACGTTTAATATTGTACATGCATATGTATATATAAAAAATAAATAAATTTAGTATAAATTGATCAGCCGATTTGGGGATTAGTATCAGTTCTAATAGTTAATTCGTTCAGCTTAGTAGTAGACCATATCTAATCATCGGAGCAAAATGGTAAGTGAACTACAAAATTTGGAATTTTATTAGACGTATCATAATGGGAGCAGCTTTGTTGAAAAAGTAATTGTAATACCCTGCAAGCGAAGTCTAAATTTTCCGCGGAAAAAATTGTCCCAGTTTCTGTAGTTGCGGTGACTTAATAACTGAGTTATCTTAATAGCAGAGTGTTAGGCAAGATGTGGTGGTGATCAATAAACTATGACATACCTCTCTTTTTTCTATTACAGAAAGTCTTCCTTGCCATCACTCTCGCCTTGGTTGCCTTCGCTTCGGCTGATGTCAGTCATTTGTCGAGTTCATACCTGCCGCCCAGCTCAGGCATTTCATACTCATCGGGCGGCTCCCACGGTGGCTCATACTCCTCAGGAGGTTCTCTTGGCAGTGCATACTCTTCAGGCGACTCTCTTGGTAGCTCATACTCTTCGGGTGGTTCTCTTGGCAGTGCATACTCTTTAGATGGCTCCCTCGGTACCTCATACTCATCGGATGGTGCCCTCGGTGGTTCATACTCTGCAGGCGGTTCTCTGGGCGGCTCATACTCATCCGGAGGTGCTGCTGGCGGTGGGGGATCGTCCTACTCTGAGCCATCCAACGTATACTTGCCTCCTGCCTCATCTCCAGTGTACTCTGCTCCAGCCCCAGCTCCTGTTTACTCTGCCCCAGCTCCAGCTCCTGTTTACTCTGCACCAGCTCCAGCCCCAGCTCCTGTTTACTCTGCCCCAGCTCCAGCTCCTGTTTACTCTGCACCAGCTCCAGCCCCAGTATACTCTGCACCTGCAGTTTCTTCAGGCGGAAGTGATGGTGGTTACTCTTACTCTAGCGGTGGTTCATCTGGAGTCTCTGGCGGTATTTCGGTCGGCCACTCTGGCGGTGGGTCGTACTCCAGCGGTGGTTCTACCGAATACTCTGCCCCAGCTCCTGCTCCAGTTTACTCGGCACCAGCTCCCGCTTCATTCTACTCAGCTCCATCACATTCATCAGATGGTGATGGCGGTTACTCTTTCTCTACCCATGGTTCATCTGGTATCTCAGGTGGTATTTCAGTCGGCCACTCTGGCGGTGGATCCTACTCAAGCGGTGGTTCTTCCGAATACTCTGCCCCAGCTGCTGCTCCAGTTTACTCATCAGGTGGCTCCTTGTCTTACTCGTCGGATGGTTCATCGTACTCTGGTGGCGAAGTTGGCACTCAGTATGCCGCCGGCGGTGGTTACGTCTACAAAAAGCAGTAAAACGATTAGAACTTTTATTATTAAAACTGTGTTTGTACCTTAAAGTAGGTGACGATGTTTCATGCATACAAATCCCATAACTAAAAGCATTTTTAAATATGTAAGGAACTAAATATATTTTATGAAAAAATTATCAAAATGTGTATATAGAATTTTTAATCAAAGAAAAGGGGCAAAAGTCGCTTGAGTTTTAAGAAAAGTTTCAGAATAAGCCTATTTCTAATCAATCGGTGACAGGGGCATCGATCTCCAAAAAGTGTCCATTTGACACTTTAGTCGCACAATGGTAACGCTGATTACAGCTGTTCTAGGAGTTGAAATTTCACTACCACGCTTGGCAGGTAAACCAAAAAACAGAAGTAACCCCTATCGGTCAATGAAAATGAGTACTGGCGACGGTCTATAATAAAATGTTATCTGAAGTCTGCAATGAACTCATTCTTTGGTACAATTTATGGAAGAAAGAACTTGCCCGAAGAAGATATGAAGGATGTTGAAGTTGTAAATTTATTAAAAGAATAAAACGAATAAATAAGTGTGTTTCCATTTTGAGCGCTTTTCCATGCACAATAGCATTTCGTAAAGTAAAAACCTGGCTCAGAAGCACATCAGGAGAAGAAACGCTTTCTGGACTATACCTCATGAGTATCGAAAGAAAACTCGTTACCGATAATCGCGAGATAATTCAGGATGAAATAATAGAAAATTTTGATTTGCTGAAAATGCGAGACGTTTGTTATTAGCGTAATAATTATTAAATAAAAAATATATCAAAAAAATTAACAAGTCTTATCTGTTTTGCCAAAAGAGGCTAGTACTACTGCTAGAAAACTACCTGTAGCGCTACCAATGTTACCTCTACAGAGGAAAACTCGAAAAAGATGTTACACCCAAACGTCCAGGCAATTTTTCCAATCGCTAAGAAATGGATCGAACTGGGCTTACAGACTCAGGATTAAAAGGAATTACTCTGCGAATTCCACGTCCTCTCATGTTGAAAATTTCGCTAAGAGAAAACCAAGTCAAATTGACAAAAGAACACACACGGTACAAACAGATTCCAAGCCCTACGTAACCATATCCGAGATCGTAAAGGCGCTGATGTATGTAGCAGGCCTGGTTGAGAGCTCACGATTAATTCTACTCCTAAAGAGTACCCTAACAAATTTTGGTCGCTATGGTATGGTTCAGGCCATACAGGCGGGCGTCCTGACAATGGTAAGGTAGCAGCAAAAGGACTACGTGGAGTTTAGCGGCTGCACCTTTCGTCCGGGGTGGTTGTCGATTAATTGCGAAGATGCGGAAACGCTGGAGTGTCTGCCTAAAATCACGCCACATCTTAAACCCTGGATATACGAGGAAGTTGCAGATACCAATGCCTGTGATGTCTCCATATCCTCTGTATATATTGGTCTCTTACCGTAGCCATAAAACACAACAGTGGATAATATTTTTTCGATCCACCTTGGATACCACGATAGAGTAACGCTGTGGTGGGTCCAGAGACATGAAGGGTTTGAGGACAACGAAAACGTTGAGGCGAAACGCGCTCGCATGGTACCAAGCCTGTGTAGTTTACATCTAAAGCATTCACTGCAGAGCTTCTTATGAGCTGAGAAGAATCTCAGCTGCTTGCGGAAGTAAAAGGGATTCATAACTTATTTCAGGAGGAACTCCGAAAGACTCCTTGAACTTAGCCCACTGAACTTAGTAGATACATATATTTTATGCGTATAAATTTTTGATAGGGGTGAACAACGACTCCTTTCGGTACCACAACTACCTTTGGACTCACATCAAACAATTTTTGCTATTAAAAATTGCGTTGAAAAAAATTAAAGCTGTATACAGTGTTTATCTGAGGAGTTTTTGGCAGAAGGGGAATGAGCACGAAAAATAATCACAGGTACTCGTTTTCCGTGTTTTCTAACCCGAGAAAAACTTCCGCAATATTATACGACAGCACCAATTGATTTTAAGATGTCTCATAAATTTGCAAAACAGTACAAGAAAATAATAAAAGATCTATCTTATTTGCATGCAAACAAAGAAACAATAAATTTCTAAACAAAATCGATGTTATGCAAAAATGGAAATACGTTGAACAAAACATTTGCTAAAATACCGAGCTCCATTGTAGAGCATGTGAATGTCTACAGTTCTTCACAATCAATAGTGATAGTCGATTGTTAAATAAGTATTTATAAAAAAATACCGATTATTTATCAAACTTCACGTTCTTTATTTACCTTATAAATAAGTACATCTGCCCTGATGAGCATTTACGGTAAAAACGTCGATGGAGTATTCGCACCAATAGCATTGGACTTTTGGCTATATGGTAAACAGGTTCGGAGACCCACATAAAAATTTTTTTAGAATATAAGGAAGAACCTCAAAGCTTAGGCATATATTTAAGTAGTATATTAATTACCTGCCCTCCCACGAATGCGTTTGAATTCGACAAAATACCAGAATTATGGAATATCCTGGTAGCCCAGGAAAATCTTAGACTAAGTATAAAAGTGGGCATATATGTAGATATTCAGCCTTATCATGAGTTTCATATTCCCCAAACCGGTTCACTTTAGGTTTCCATGTATTTACTATGGGGGGGAATACAATTTTTCGAGTGAAAATTTTTCCGGAAGAAACTGTTTTTCGGGCGAAACTCAGGCTAATGCAGATTATCTACCACAGAATGGGCTCTCGATAAAACTAGCAGTCGTAGTCTAACCTCACTGTGCATCGTATTAAGTATACATAAATATAATTAGGGTTCAAACAGGTGAAACAAAAGCTTCTTGAGAGTTGACCAATTGCTTATGTTTAACGGAGATGCAACGTTAACACGTTTCGGTGTGTTTCTAGATATCCTTCATTAAAGTTCGTCGGAATTGGGGGGGGCTGAATGTCCCTTTATTTAAGAGAATTTATTTGTCAACCCTTAGGAATGGTTATTTGGTCATGGTTCTTGAGTAGGGCTACTCCACTCGATGTAAGAGTCCACTGAAGTCTGCAGTGTCTGATCTTAATCAGGTGCGGCTGGAAGCGGGTGTCTGTCTTGAAGCAAGCAGCTCGTTTTATAAATGTGTCTTCATAAATTAGCCCAGTCTCTGGTGTGCTTTGGGTGTGAAGGCCGCCACATAAAAACCCTTCCAATGAAAAAAGTGAGAAAAGTGGTTAAAAGACTATGATTTGAGGGTATGTAAGTATGTACGTGGAACCTTCTTTGATACGAGTAGTCAGGCAGCTATTCAGATACTTCATTGCGACTAATCCACATTAAGAATAGTCATGGAGTTTAGACATATTCAAATATGTAGTATGGGTGCCAAATCACAAAGATACACTGAGGGAAATAATGCATGGTAAAAATGAATACTTTATACTTGATTATCGTTTAAAAATATTCGTATTTAAAAATAGTATTTTCATACAAAATGTATTACGCACGTATTTGACTGTTCACATCTGAGTATGTATATGTAAGTCTACATACCCTGCAAGAAAACCGCATACTAGTGAATCAAATTTCTAGTTCCGTACTAGGTCTTTATCGCCAAAAAGGAACTAGTCCGATAGGAACTAGATCCCCACCAGTCCAAAGTCGGCGAAGTCGAAATCTATATCTAAGGTGACGAATTTAGAACTGGTTCGGAACTATAGAAAAAGAGATGCAGAACGATCTAGATCTTATTTGTCGAATTTAGAACTAGTTCGGAACTATCGAAAAAGGGATGCAGCGGAGGGCTTGTATACTTTACATAGATATGTGTTCGGCGGCTTTTTCGTTCAAATACGCTTCTATTCTGCACATCGCAGATGCTTTTTCATAGCTTGGTAATACAAAACCAAAATTTGTGTTAACATTTCAACATCTTGGGACCGTCCGGAATCTATCAGCGAGCACCTCTGCAAACTCAGCTACAGCTAAAGGTATGTATTTCATAATCAAAAACACATTTCTTTCAAAATAACTTAAAATAGCACACACGGAAGAACCAAAAATATTGAAAAATCATGATACTTTTTTCTTTCGTCTGTCGATTTTAGAACTTGTTCCGAACTATAGAATATAGGAGTAGTTCGGAACTATCAAAAAACGGATGCAGCGGGGGGGCAATTGACACTTCCTAGGACATCGCCATATTAAATTCGCCAGTTGCTTGCATGCAAAAGAGATTTATCGCGAACCAGTACTGGGTCTAAATGTAATAGAAGCGCACCAGTTCAGAACTAGAGATTTTCCCCACAGGGTATGCACCCCAAGCATGCAGAGCGCCGCTCTGAGGCCGATGACAACACACACATACATACATAGTACAAATCGCGTGCTGTGGTGTTGATGGATATTCAACATTTGAAAGCAAATTTATATGACTGGGAGTAGCCGAGTGCGCAAAGATGCTTGCCACAAGTTGTTGATATCCGGAGATGGTCTGGTTCAAATTCCACTGCAGGCAACATGCAAATAATTTTTTTTTTTTTTTAGTTTTTGTGTTGATTATTTACTTCACGGATGCTTTTTCAGTACGAACGCGGTCATTTTAATATGCGCGTAATTGAATTGAATATTTACCAATATACAGTACTTTCGTTGACGTTTATAGTAAGATCAATTACGTTTCTATTTGATTTTAATATTTTTTCCCCTCAGTGTATCGTCACTAGACACGAATAAAGGCGCAGCTCAAAAAATGACGGCGAAAAAATACGCATACAAAAACTTCAGCGTCAAAGACGCTTAACATACCTCGCCGAAGTTTTT